GGCCAAAATCCACCCAACTTATTGTGGGAAGCTTGTGGAAGGCTACCTGAAACGTTTGACCCAAGTTAAGCAATTTAAAGGCAATGCTACCAAATACTAATTGAGTGCATGTAAACTTCTGACCCACTGGGAATGTGATGAAAGAAATAAAAGCTGAAATATATAATTCTCTCTACTATTATTCTGACATTTTACATTCTTAAAATAAAGTGGTGATCCTAACTGACCTAAAACAGGGAATCTTTACTAGGATTAAATGTCAGGAATTGTGAAAAACTGAGTTTAAATGTATTTGGCTAAGGTGTATGTAAACTTCAGATTTCAACTGTACATATAGGTATGGGTGAAGTGACTAGGCAACAAGGATAGATAATAGACTGAGCTGTAGCAGCAGTGTGTGTGTGTGTTTGGCGTAAATATGCATGTGTGCATGTTATGTGTGTGTGTGTTTGTTCGCCCGCCCGCAATTGCTAATAACGTATCCGCAACTGCCTGACTATGTATGATAGTGAAAATCTGAGGCCCGCACCCAACATTTTCAAAAGATTTTGCTGAGTTAATTAATTTGGCCCTAATCTATGGATTTCACATGACTGGGCAGGGGCGCAGCCATGGGTGGGCTTGGGAGGGCATAGGCCCACCCACTTGGGAGCCAGGCCCAGCCAATCAGAATGAGTTTTTCCCCACAAAAGGGCTTTATTACAGACAGTGCTGAGGAGTATTTCTGTAGGCTACTGTCAGAGACAGCGTCATTATTTTTTGACAGGGGGTGCAGGATGTTTTTTGCCTGATTTGAGATGTTTCTGCTTATTTCCAACATTTTGGTAGGCTCTTTGTTAACTTGTCTATAATTAGATACATGCAGCTTCTCTTCTGTCTTTGTTTCCCCAGAAGACTAAATAAACTCTTGCTCACCAGAATGTCATAAATTGGTAGAATGAATGCTTCAATCTAGTTAACATCGGTCAAGTTTTCTCTGTTATCTGCTTCTTTCGCGGAGCAAAGATGTTTAGGGACTGGGGAGAAAAATGCAATAACAAATCCCCCCCCCCCCCCCCCCCCCCAAAAAAACAAAACAAAAAAAAACGTTGCTGTGCAAAATGTCCAAATGACATCAGTTTGACCAGTTGTAAGGAAATAGAAAGCTGCGAAAACGACCAAATGGCTTGGATGCATATACACTGAGTATACAAAATATTAAGGACACCTGCTCATTCCATGACAAAGACTGACCAGGTGAAAGCTATAATCCCTTATTGATGTTACTTGTTTAATCCACTTCAATCAGTGTAGATGAAGGGGAGGAAACTTTTTAAGCCTTGAGACAATTGAGACATGGGTTCTGTATGTGTGCCATTCAGAGGGTGAATGGCCAAGACAAAAATATCAATATTAGGAAGGTGTTCCTAATGTTTGGTATACTCAGTGTATTATGTGGTTGAAATACTATCAGCGTTTATGATGCTGATAAAGATAGATACCGTCTGTAGAGGTACTAACTGCGCATTCACGTTCTCTCAAGATGCTGAAAGAAAGAAATCAAATTTCTCCACTCCTGTTCCCGAGTAAAATTGTAGTCTACATTTGTATCATTTTACTGCAATAAATACTTTATTCTGCAGTAGTTAATATTAAGGCCATGTGCGAGGTTATAGACCTACAGTCAGTATCCAGATTTCAGTTTCCATTTAACCATCTGAACAGTAGGCCAAAGTTCCTTTGACGTGCCATAGGCCTATCTGAAGTTCCCGTCGTGTGACTGTCGATTTGTATAGGGCCTAACAATCATCACACATAACATAACCGGCACGGCTATCATCCTCTTTTACCACTTCACCAAATCTTTCCCAAACATTACTTTTCTGGCCCTCCCTTCTCTTTATTTTAAACTCTTTTTTTTTTTCCAGGTTTTCTGCCCGATCCCAAAAGCATTTGGTCATTGGCTGTGTAGGCTATTTGGCACACGTACAGTTAGGCCCTAAATCTCAGGCTTACGCACTAATGCCAGATAGCCTAAAAATAATTAAAGAAAAACCTAAATGTAGCTTATAGATATAAATTGAACAAGAATGATACATTTATGGATTTTAAGATTTTCACTTTATTCAACCTCCTGCCACCCACCCTTCATCCACACAACATTTCATGACCCTAAACCCTCCCGCCTCACGGATTTAACTGTGGACACTGCGGGTTATGAGTCAACCCGTGCATCACTACTGTGTGTTGGGGTGTAAATGTGTAGAGTCCAGTGTGTGTTCAAAAAGGGTAAATGGAGGTAGCCATTTGATTAGCTATTTAGCAGTCATATGGCTTCACTGAAGGTGCCGCGCAGGTGTAGGCTATGAATATTAGATCATGGATAAGCCTACCTCTTGGTGGCGCCTGAGCAGCTGCGCTTTCTGCATACAGTTACAGTGGGGACAAAAAGTATTTAGTCAGCCACCAATTGTGCAAGTTCCCCCACTTAAAAAGATGAGAGGCCTGTAATTTTCATCATAGGTACACGTCAACTATGACAGACAAATTAATTAATTTGCAAATTATGGTGGAAAATAAGTATTTGGTCACCTACAAACAAGCAAGATTTCTGGCTCTCACAGACCTGTAACTTCTTCTTTAAGAGGCTCCTCTGTCCTCCACTCGTTACCTGGATTAATGGCACCTGTTTGAACTTATCAGTATAAAAGACACCTGTCCACAACCTTAAACAGTCACACTCCAAACTCCACTATGGCCAAGACCAAAGAGCTGTCAAAGGACACCAGAAACAAAATTGTAGACCTGCACCAGGCTGGGAAGACTGAATCTGCAATAGGTAAGCAGCTTGGTTTGAAGAAATCAACTGTGGGAGCCATTATTAGGAAATGGAAGACATACAAGACCACTGATAATCTCCCTCGATCTGGGGCTCCACGCAAGATCTCAGCCCGTGGGGTCAAAATGATCACAAGAACGGTGAGCAAAAATCCCAGAACCACACGGGGGGACCTAGTGAATGACCTGCAGAGAGCTGGGACCAAAGTAACAAAGCCTACCATCAGTAACACACTACGCCGCCAGGGACTCAAATCCTGCAGTGCCAGACGTGTCCCCCTGCTTAAGCCAGTACATGTCCAGGCCCGTCTGAAGTTTGCTAGAGTGCATTTGGATGATCCAGAAGAGGATTGGGAGGATGTCATATGGTCAGATGAAACCAAAATAGAACTTTTTGGTAAAAACTCAACTCGTCGTGTTTGGAGGACAAAGAATGCTGAGTTGCATCCAAAGAACACCATACCTACTGTGACGCATGGCGGTGGAAACATCATGCTTTGGGGCTGTTTTTCTGCAAAGGGACCAGGACGACTGATCCGTGTAAAGGAAAGAATGAATGGGGCCATGTATCGTGAGATTTTGAGTGAAAACCTCCTTCCATCAGCAAGGGCATTGAAGATGAAACGTGGCTGGGTCTTTCAGCATGACAATGATCCCAAACACACCGCCCGGGCAACGAAGGAGTGGCTTCGTAAGAAGCATTTCAAGGTCCTGGAGTGGCCTAGCCAGTCTCCAGATCTCAACCCCATAGAAAATCTTTGGAGGGAGTTGAAAGTCTGTGTTGCCCAGCGACAGCCCCAAAACATCACTGCTCTAGAGGAGATCTGCATGGAGGAATGGGCCAAAATACCAGCAACAGTGTGTGAACTTTGAAGACTTACAGAAAACGTTTGACCTGTGTCATTGCCAACAAAGGGTATATAACAAAGTATTGAGAAACGTTTGTTATTGACCAAATACTTATTTTCCACCATAATTTGCAAATAAATTCATTAAAAATCCTACAATGTGATTTTCTGGATTTTTTCCCCCTCATTTTGTCTGTCATAGTTGATGAAAATCCTATGATGAAAATTACAGGCCTCTCATCTTTTTAAGTGGGAGAACTTGCACAATTGGTGGCTGACTAAATACTTTTTTTCCCCACTGTATCTGACTTGGAGATAAATGATGCTTAGTTCGATAGGCTACTGAAGGAGAGGGACGCATCAATTTAGTCACAAAATATTAGAGGTGTTTCCAGAGGGAAGAAATACAATTATATGAGTAAAAAAAGTTTAATGTTTGAATTTATTTTCGGACTGATTCATGCTACATTATATATATTTTTTGGGCTCCCATGGACTGAAACACTCGTATCTTGAACATTTGAACCGGGGACCGATGTGTATCAGTGAATCGTTGCATCCCTAGATGTTATCATTGTGTACCTAATGTTGGCAGTGTGGTATCCTAATTCACTTGACCCAAATCACTGAACATTCTGATCTCTCTAGTGTGGATAATTTTGGATCAGCGTGTTGTGAAGTTGTTTGATGTGACATGCTTGGAGTGGGTCATCACATGGAGAAACAAAACCGAGAGCAGTAGAGTGGGGGAAAAGTCCTCATCCATCTCTTTCCACTGGTGGGTGGTATAGCCCAAGTCTGGTACTACTCATGTCTAATTTTTTTTCCCCCCCTCCTATAAAAGGTTGCTGTGAAAATCATAGACAAAACACAGCTCAACTCTTCCAGTCTCCAAAAGGTGAGGACAATGAGATGCTGGGTTAATGCCATACGGTTGTTGTTTTGATTTATGTGTTCGGATATCTCTGAAATAGAAAGAATGAAGCTCAAATCAATGAGAAATTGTGACAGAGCACTGCTAATTCACATCCATCCTCTTGAAGTGTCTTCCAGTCCCTAACCCCAATCTTCTCCTGAAGAGGGTAGTTTCCCTCTGTAGGGCTTAGGGCAGGATATGGGGGTAATTACAGGAAATTAGACCCAAGTACTTCCTGTAGTGATGGTTTGGGTGGGGTGCCAGTACTCTCTTCAGAAATGTATGCATGAAGACGTGCACACAGTGATTTTCACATAGTCTTGGAGTATAGAGTTAAAATTGTATCAGATAAACTCTGACTTTGTTGCATATAAACTGATTGATCCTATGTTAATGTTTATCTGTTCTCCTGCCCATAGCTGTTTCGTGAAGTGAGGATCATGAAGCTGCTCAATCACCCAAATATCGGTGAGCTTTGTGCTGCCCTCCTTTTAAGATTATCGTCATCCCCAACCAAATGACAGAAACATGTTTCTGTGTTTCTCCTGCCTGCTTATTGATGGAGGCTTCCTGTGTAGAGGTCTTAGTTCAACTTTAGAAAATTGACAACTAAGTTGTGATGGAAGGTGTTGTCTTGATTGAATTGAATGTCTCTCTTGTCTCCTTCTCGTCTTTTCTCTGTAGTAAAGTTATTTGAAGTTATTGAGACAGAGAAGACGCTGTACTTGATCATGGAGTATGCCAGTGGAGGTGAGTAAAGGCACACTCAGTTCAACCTGAAATTCTGTTTTCAGCCTGTAATAACATCAATGCCGAGTCCCAGTTCTGTCTCGCTTTATTCACATACGCTCGGTTCCTCACTCAACCTTTTATCCTCTTTTGTGTTTCTACTGCTTTCTTCAATACTCCCCTGCTTTCTGCCTCCCCCCTCAACCCCTCTCCTCAGGTGAGGTGTTTGATTACCTTGTTGCTCACGGGAGAATGAAAGAGAAAGAGGCCAGAGCCAAATTTAGACAGGTGAGACACTGTCTGCTGGTTTCATTTCCTGTTATTGACATTACTGTTTAAAAGGGAATGGTCAACCTAGCTGTTGCTCCTTGTCTTGTTACAGATAGTGTCAGCGGTACAGTACTGCCACCAGAAGTGCATCGTACACAGAGACCTAAAGGTGAGGATAGACAAGAAATGGGGAAGTGTTTTGATGTGTGTGTGTGTGATGTAGAGAAAGAGATGGATCCATTTGTGACATATCAAGATTATTACATTATGAAATGTATAAAAACATTCCTTACCCCCAGGATACATCAACTGGTGACTATCCGGGAGAATTAAGAAAAAGGAGCACTCTGTTGCTGCGTAAATCTGATCTTACGTAAGCCTATTTGTTTGTTTGTTTGTCCCGTCAATAAATCGATCAGATTTACGCAGCAACAGAGTGCTCCTTTTTCTTAATTCTCTTAATGTTTTTATGCATTTCATAATGTAATAATCTTGATATGTCACAAATGGATCCATCTCTTTCTCTACATTACACACACACACATCAAAACGGGGCTGAAGTGCGTTTGAGTACACCTTTTTTCCCCCATTATGAATTACATGTTGGTGTTCTTTAAATTTTTTTACAGAACTTGTATCAATAATAAATGCTCTCTTTCTCTCTTCAGGCAGAGAACCTACTCCTAGATGCTGACATGAACATCAAGATAGCAGACTTTGGTTTCAGTAATGAGTTCACCATGGGGAACAAGCTGGACACGTTCTGTGGCTCTCCTCCCTACGCCGCCCCGGAGCTGTTCCAGGGGAAGAAATATGACGGGCCCGAGGTGGACGTCTGGAGCCTGGGGGTCATCCTCTACACACTGGTCAGCGGATCCCTGCCTTTCGACGGACAGAACCTAAAGGTGGGCAGGGAACTGTGGAAGTGAAGGAGGAAGGGATACATGGAAAACAAGTGATGTTCTTGAATACCTACCCACACCTCACTTTAATCCTTGTCTGTTGTGCTTGTCTTCCCTTTAGGAGCTGCGCGAACGGGTTTTGCGGGGGAAGTATAGGATTCCCTTCTACATGTCAACAGACTGCGAGAACCTGCTCAAAAAGTTCCTAATTCTCAACCCAACCAAGAGGGGCAGCCTGGAGGTTAATAGTACCTCACCTAGCCACTGCCATTGCCTCCACTGGATACAAACAAAAATTGTGTGGAGACAATTCTAACAGCTGACTGTTAGTGCTTTGTTTTTTATCCACCTCCCTTTCCCCATTAACCCCAAGTCTCCGTCCTCTCTCTGCTTGTGTCCAGCAGCAGATCATGAAGGACCGCTGGATGAATGTAGGTCATGAGGAGGAGGAGCTGAAGCCCTTCATCGAGCCCCAGCCAGACTACAAGGACCCCAAGAGGACAGGTCAGCACCCCGACCGAGCGGGGGGGTGGAAGAGAGGTGGGGCAGGCGTCTGGTGGATGAGCTGGTGGCAGCAGAGGGGTTACTGGGGAGGGGGTTGGAGGTCACCCTAATTGGGGGAGGGCCCCTCTATCTGAAGATAGTCTTATTTTACGTGCCATGTTAGTCTTAGTATGCCCACCTCTGTGTGTTGCTTAACATGCCCTTTGCTGTGTTGGCATGTGCCTACATGTTTAGTAAAACTAAATGCTATACTTTTTGTTAGACTCAAATTATATGCCTGTATGTTCTAGCTATTTTGTGTGTGGAATCATGTACCTGTGTATGTGTTTGTTAGTTAGAGAATTAGGGATATGTTGCTCTCTGTAGTATGCTACACGTGTGTTAATGGTGTCCTATGCATGTGTGTGTAATGTACTTCTGTCCTTGATGTGGTTGTAAGGTTGACCTTTTTTCTCCATTCTGTCTAGATATCATGTTGCAGATGGGCTACTCTGCAGAGGAGATCCAGGACTCGCTCGTCAACCAAAAATACAATGAAGTCATGGCCACATATCTATTACTGGATTATAGGAACTCGGAGGTACAACGTGTATACACTCACATCTGTAGCAGCAAACAGTGTCCTACTCCTGTCATGGTAATATTATTCACCATCCCTCCTCTTCCCTCTCAGATGGATGAATGCATCAGCCTATCAATGACACCCCGCCCAGGAAGTGACCTCACAAACAGCAATTCCCAATCCCCTTCTCACAAGGTACAGCGCAGTACCTCATCCAATCAGAAGCCCCGGAGAGCAACAGATGCAGGTAGGAAGCTGTTTGGGTTGACGAGGATACAGCAGATGTACTACTATTTTGGACAAATGCTCTTATTTTGGTCTGTCTCAACTATTTATATCTCTTTGTATTGATCTCATTCTGTCTGTCTTTGCGTCTCTGTCCCACTCTTTCCGTTCTTCTGTTGTCGCTTTTGTTCTTTTTCCCAGGTTCTTCTGCTTCCAAGCGTTCCCAGGGCGACAACAAGCACACAGCAGAGGATTATGGGAGGAAAGGTTCTGGCACTGGCAGCTCCACTAAAGTTCCTCCCAGTCCCTTAGCTACAGCAGATCGTAAGAGGAGCACCCCAACCCCCTCCACCGTGAGTAGACTTCTTCTTCTACATTTCTGCCACTCCAGGGTTGATGGCATGTACACTACTGTACTCAACATCATTTCCTCTATCGGTCATACAGAACAGCATCCTGTCCACTGGTACGAGTCGCAGTCGAAACTCGCCAGTCCCAGAGAGAGCCACACTTGGGGTCCAGAACGGAATGGACAGGTACACACAAGCACCCCCGCACGTGTGCGCACACAATATTCTCACACACACTCTCACTTGGCAGCAGAGCTCTGGTTTTGGGGCTAGTCACGTGTCTAGATGGCAGTGTTTACAAGCAGTGGCCAGTGGATTTAACACAGAGCAGCTGGCAGCTGGATTCCCAGTGTACACACACAGTCACACATACACATTCACACGGGAGCAGAGTTTTGAAATCTTTGATAATGGATTAGTGACACCTGCTAAAATGTATGAAAGACTATGAATGTACTCAAGACCAGCTTACTCACAAAGTAACACACTGCATCCGCAATCAACTGAAACCATAATCATTTCTTGGAACTCTCTCACACACAAAAACATGGCAAGATAAGTTTGCTTACGCTGACCCTTGTTTTATATTTGACTATTTTATGATAATTTCCTTCACTGTAAAACGTGAAGGAGTAGAAAGCCAGGTTTAGGTGTAGAATCTGGGGCCTCAGAAACACAGACACACTTTACAGTATTCAACAGATTGACCCTGATAGTCAGAGCTCACTCCTTAATCTGGGATTTATGATGCTGGCTGCTTTTATATGCAGGTTACTTCCAGGCACAAAAAAGGCAAAATGCAGAGGGAAAGTGTTTTAAAGAACATGTTCTGTGTGGGAGAGGGGGAGCAGCGTTGCCAACAGCATGTGACTCAGACATGTTTGCTTGAAAGAGATGATGCGAGGACAAACTGACGGTGTGTGGTCAGCACTAGCCCTGCTACACAACTATTGGTTGAACACACTAGCACACATTCTCCTTACTGACAAAACTGCCCTTTCACACAATGTTATGTCAAATATGCCTTTTTCATTTAGTAGGGGGTTATAACTTTTCACATTTTCCCCATTTTAATGCATTTGATTCCTTTATGCATTTTTAAGCCACTTTTTCTTTCCTCAAACTTCTTCTGTTCTGACAGTTTCTCTCTCCATTTCCATCTATTCCTTGGGGTGCAATGCTTCCCAGAAATAATGCAGTCTTTCTTTAAGCTCCCCAAATGAAAGCTGTTATGTATAGTCATCCAATACAAATTGGCATTATTTGAGATACTGTGTTGTCTGTGTTGATGTTTTCCTCCCTCCTCAGTGTCCCCTGCTTCCTCCCCAGTTCTAACCTTGATTACCCCATGACCCTCTTCCACCCCTCACGGGGGACGGTCGGCACGGGGTATATTCATTTCTCTCCCCCAGCCTGACCACCCCAGGGTCCCGCGCCTCCACAGCCTCGGCAGCCGCCGTCCTTTCTTCCTCCTCCCGCCCCCGACACCACAAGTCCCTGTCCACCTCTGCACACCCTACCCCCTCAGACATCCAAGCACACCGGCCCAGGCAAGTGTCACCAGAGAGGGGAACACAAGGACAGCCACTCGTCAGCAGAGAGAGTAGAGTGGATGTGAAAGGGTTTGGGTTAGATGGTCCCTGGTGGCAGTTCTCAGCATTGGGTATTCAACATCGACAAAATAGGTAGAGAAAGATCAGATGTAGGGATTAAAAGGGTAGCAATATTGCTGGAAGGGCAACATCGAAACACCCCACTTTTCTCTATCTGCCACTTTTCCCCACCCCCTGAAACTCACCCTACAAGCACCCCACCTCTTTGCGAAATACCTTTCTCCCCAACACCACTGTCCTTATCCAACCAGTCCTACCGCTAATATTGCACTAGAAAGCCAGAACCTGCCAACCTGTGGTTCATGTGTTCCTGTAAACCATCAGTTACACATCAAACACCATCACACTTTGAACATGGCTTGGCGGTGCCATTATGTTTTTGCCTGAGCCGGAAGGAACTCTCTCAGCTCCTAGCTGGTGTGCATTGCTGTCATGTAATCCCTTGTAATACCTCCTGCAACTCCCTGTCCATACAAAATCTGACATCTCATGGGCCATGCACATTGTAAAAAAGAAAGAGTCCTAGTGAACGTGCTATAATGCTGGGACGTCATTCACTTATCAATTGGTTAACATGTAAATCCACTATCACTAAATAGTTTCGCTATAACCTCTGCCACTATGACAATGTGTGGTCCAGGACATAATCAACAGGATCACAGCTCCATGCCCCTTCCCCAACCTTTCCTTTCCTTCTTTGTAGTGATGCTGCATTCGTTGTTACCCTGTTAGCTGATCTTACTGTGCCCTGCTGATTATGTGATTAATGCAGTGTGCCTACGATTTAACACTCCACAAGGCTTCACTGGCCTCACATTCCAAGTCTTTAGTTTATACCTGCTGCCCATGGTGGGTCACAAGGCTGTAATCGTTTTCTTGGCAATATGTTCTACTAGGCTTCATCTTTCAAGATTAAAGTCAATCATGGTGGATTTTGCTGAGTGGATGGCACGGTTAGGGTGCATGTTGTAGCCTAATAGAAGGAACTACATTTTTGTACACATTCCGTTTGCAAACTGCTTAATCAGTCTTGCTTACAACTGTGGCATTTGTATAGACATTATATGCTTTTCATTCACTGAACTTTTGTTTCACTATCTGAAGCTCCGTTGTGTTTTTATCATACATTCTTTGTGGGAAATAGCTTCAGCAGTTGGGGAAACACGTTGATGTGCTGGTGATAATGAAATCTATAAATGACTCTCCTCTGCCTACTCATTCTACTTACAAAACTATCAAAACAGCACTGCCCCTCTGAGAGTACCAGTGGCGTCTCCCTCTGCCCACAACATCAGCAGTTCCACGGTGACGGACCGATCCAACTTCCCCAGAAATGTGGCCACCAGAAGCACTTTCAGTGCCGGGCAGCAGAGGGCGACACGGGACCAGCATGCCTCCACCTACAATGGTCCCCCAGCATCCCCCTCCCTTTCCTATGGGAACAGCCAGGCTCGAAGAGTGGGGGGCACTGGTATCTTCAGCAAGTTCACATCTAAATTTGTGCGCAGGTGAGAGAATGGGGGAATGGGGATCTGCTATGATGGGAAAGATGCTCTTAGTGTTGAATCCAATGATGTGATTTTCTGTTATGCTGATCACATCCTGGTGTTAAACGTCTTGCCTTAAGTGAATGAGAGTGAGAATTACAGTGAGGTATTCATGTTTGTGCATTGTGATTTTTGGACTTCGTTCTTAACTTTTGTGTGTCCCTGTGATGTTTAAAAACAAATCTGGCCATAATGTTCTTGTGCTCACAATACGCTTGACTACAAGTGCTCCCCTCTTTTAGGTTGAGTTGGTTTGGAGCTGTGCATATTTCTGTGCTGGTGGTCAGTTGCCACACATGTAGTTGGAGCAGCTAGGGAAGTTACTCTGTGTGGAAATACCTTCAAATACAAATCAGAGTATCTTGCTGTAGTTTAATTGTTTTATTGATGAATTGTACATCACGAATTAAGGCATTATACACACTGTACAAAACATTAAGAACACCTTCCTAATATTGAGTTGAACCCCCCCTTTGCCCTCAGAACAGCCTCAATTAGTTAGGGCATGGACTCTACAAGGTGTCGAAAGCGTTCCACAGGGATGCTGGCCCATGTTGACTCCAGCGTTTCACAGTTGTCAAGTTGGCTGGATGTCCTTTGGGTGGTGGACCATTCTTGATAAACACGGGAAACTGTTGATTATGAAAAACCCAGCAGCGTTTCAGTTCTTGACACAAACCGGTGCGCCTGGCACTTACTACCATACCCTGTTCAAAGGCGCTTAAATTTTTTGTCTTGCCCATTCACCCTCTGAATGGCACACATACACAATCCAGGTCTCAATTGTCTCAAGGCTTGAAAATCCTTATTGAACCCATCTCCTCCCCTTTATCGACACTGATTTGAAGTGGATTTAACAAGTGACATCAATAAGGAATCATAGCTTTCACCTGGTAAGTCTGTCATGGAAAGAGTAGGTGTTCTTACTGTTTTGTACACAGTGTAACTATATCATAATTGGCATGCGTGTCTCCCTTCCAGTGCTAACGTTAGTCCTAATCCGAGTCCATTGTTCATGTAACAGCTCTGCCCTTAACATCCTGAATAATATGGTAACGTCAGGCTACATTAACAGCCATTTAGTGACAACCTGTTTGGCTTAAGCAGCTCACCTCCTGAGGGACACCAGGGGAGTATTAATCTCTTTCAGTTGACTGACATGCACATGACATGTATAACAGATCTGCTGTGGTTTGTTTTGCGCACGTTTGTGTACATACAATTGTCTTTTTCTTCCCCCCTCCCCTTTTTTGTAGAAATCTCTCATTCAGATTCCCCAGAAGGTAGGCAAAAATAACCACACCCTTGAGTTTTTCTCAAAACTATTACCCGGTGTCATCTCTCTCTGTGAGGCTATTTTATGTATCATGACCATTTTTTAAATACAGATTTATTTTTGTAACGATTAGCCATTTATACTAACTCGCCCTGCACTCTCCATCGCCTGATACACCATCGTCTGCTGCTCTCTTCATCCCTTTCTGCTTTCCCTCATCCCCATTGACTTTTGTCTCCGTCAGTGTTAAGTGTTGCCCTGTGGGTCCTTGGCCAAGTGAATAGAAAACCCCCAGTCTGTGATCATGCCATGCTACCCAGTGTGCATAAAGCTTAGAATACAGAGAAATGGTGATTGTTGAGAAGAACCCGTATTCTTCTGGATTTGTACACACTCTTTACTGCTAGTGTCACCTACCCGTATTGTGGGAAGGCTTTCAAAATTACATGCTCAGACAGGAGTAGGAATTATTTCTGTTGATTTTGAAAATGTAATGTCACTGTTATTTTGGGGGGGACATCTCCTACCTTTCTTTTGTCTGATACCAGGCCTGGCCTGAAGTTTGCACTAAACAACCTCATATTTCAGCAACGTCCTGCTGTTTATTTTTCTTAAAACTTGGCTTATTTTAGTTTTTCTATTTCGAATGAGTTCCCTGAAGAGTCATTAGAGACGTATATTTATTGGCTCTAATATGATATTCTCAGCAACAACTCAAAAATGAGTGATGAAGATTGAATGTTTTGACGTTTACAAAAACTTGCATCAAGGGGTGCATGTATTTGAAGTCATATAATTGTGGTGGGCACAGACTTAAGGATGTTGGGCACCTTGGGAAACTGAGAACAGGTCCGCAGAATGCCTGCATATGCATCTGACCGATGCTGTTTATTCCTTTATTCTTATTGATGCCTTGCTGTGGGAGTTTGAGGAGAGGGGTTATTGGATGGTGGTGATGGGACGTATTAACATAACAAAGATGTGATCTCTGACTGTTCATTCCAGTTACAACAGTAAAAAATACAACAGTATCCATGGATTGTGTGATTCCACTTTGGGGTTGGGGGGTGATAATCATTTAGTAGCGATACCTAGTTTTCTCATATAGCTCCCTAAAATGTAGGAGAGCTCACATTAATTAAATCTATGGATACATACAGTATAATTTCTAAAAAGAAATACTATAGAATCTGGAATTGGAAGGTGCAGGGGTTGCAATGGGAGTTGATGGTGTTTGTTCTAACCTGGTAATAAAGTCGAATTGGAATTTGGGGAGACTAAACTTGTGCCGATTTTCTTTGAGGAGCCCGTATGAGGGAGAGGGTCGAGATGAGGCCAGCAGGTGAGGACTACGATAGTGACAATTTGATCAATCTGTTGATTCAGTGAAAAAATGTCAATCAAATAATCATTAGATGAATTGATTTAGGTGGTGTAAAGAATAGCATGCTGATATATATGATCAGTAAAGCTCCTTCGGTTTTGACAATGTAAGCATTGATCTTTTAATAACAGAAAGAGACGCATGTATTCTGCTGCTCAGTGAAGCATCCATGTAAATGCACAGCTTAAATGTTTCATGCTCATGCTGTCATTGGTTCCCCCTGTGATTGAATGCATTGTTAACCAGCCCGTAACATTGCTGTGTTGTCTGTTTCCCCATTCTTTCTGTCCTTGCCTTTTATGATATTACTCTCCTTTCCTACTTTCTTTCCCAACTCAGACCCATGTTGACCACTGCTGAGAAGCTAGAGAAGGGCACCCTGGGCTCTGCAGGAGATGAGAAGAAGGACTCCCTGTCCTCCACCTCTACAGTGCCCAGCACCACGACCCCAGGCCTGACCTCCAAGGACAACAAGCCCCGCTCACTGCGCTTCACCTGGAGCATGAAGACCACCTCCTCCATGGAGCCCAACGAGATGATGAAGGAGATCCGGAAGGTTCTGGACTCCAACAGCTGCCAGTATGAGCTGCGAGAGCGCTACATGCTGCTGTGTGTGTCTGGGACTCCCGCCCGTGACGACTTTGTCGAGTGGGAGATGGAGGTGTGCAAGCTGCCCCGCCTCTCCCTTAACGGGGTTCGCTTTAAGCGCATTTCTGGCACATCCATTGCCTTCAAGAACATTGCCTCCAAGGTTGCCAATGAGCTCAAACTGTGAGCTTTTGGAAGAGGAGTAGTGATGAAAGCAAGGAGGGGGATGGAGACAGACTGGAGCACAAAGGCAAAAAGGCTGAACTTTGAGACTGAACTGAGAGCTTTTGAGATGAAGGCAAAGGAGCATGGAGAGACTTTGTGGGTGGGTGGGTGGGTCGGGGGGCAAAGTGGCTAGGGGAGGTTGTGTGTGTATAGACCTTTTTGAGGAGATTGTTAATTTTCTTGGGAGGGGATGTTCTTTTCGGTTTGGGGTTTCTGTCCCCTCTCCCTCCCCTCTGACTTTTCTGTTGTCTTCTGAGACAGTTTTGTTTCTCTTAAACCTCACAATCATCTTTTTCTTAAATACATTTATTGACGGAAAATATGAAAGGAAATTAGTTAAAAAGTAATGAACTGATTGTAGGTTCTTATTTTTATTTTGAGCCCAAAATGACCCTGGACTCTGCCAGCTGTAACCCTCAGGCCTTTCTCCCTCGCTTATCCTGCACCAAGCCCAATCTATGGTCTAAGCACCATGTTACTGTACTTGAGCATCTTGCCCCCATTTTCAGCTATCTTTTTTGAACAGATGAAGAGAGCTGCAGTTTGACACTGAATGTACAACATGATTAGACAGATATATCTGAGGTACAACGCATATTCACTACAGCTGTAAATTGGTTTTCACATCATGTTCTAATTCTGATCAGCTAATGACAGCTGCACAAGGTTCCTGTTTCCGTGTGGTGGTTCAGAAAGCTTCTGCCATTTTTACATCACAGTACAGTGTCTTACTTGAGGCTACCATGGAAGTGCAGACTTGAACTCTTTGCGCTCTGATTGCGAGCCTTCACCTTCCTGCACCCCAAGCCCCTTCAATTAGTTTAATTTTTTTTTAAATTTTTTACAGCAGGGGTAATTTATCTGATGAAATAATTAAGGGCCAATTGATAATTATTGGTGGATTGTAATGTAATTAAGAGTTGCTGGTTGGTTTCAATGTGCTGCACTGGAATGTCTGAGTTCCCTTGCCTTTCTCTGGAGAAAATAATTATTAATATTGTTATTATAAGAATAAACAAAGTTGGATGATTTCTTTGTTTGTGCTCTTCAGTTTTGTTATCTGTTATAGAAGCCCACTTAATATACCCATATATTGCTGACGAATTAAGAAAATGCAGAACAATTTCACTAGCTTGAGTGAGACTCATTATTTTCCCCATATTGCAGATATACTACTACTGATATAGTACTGTATACAGTGCATTCGGAAAGTATTCAGACCTCTTGACTTTTTCCACATTCTGTTACGTTCCAGCCTTGTTCTAAAATTGATTAAATTGCTTTTTCCCCTCATTTAATCTACAGTCGTGGTCAAAAGTTTTGAGAATGACACAAGTATTGGTCTTCACAAAGTTGGCTGCTTCAGTGTTATGAGATATTTTTGTCAGATGTTACTATGGTATACTGAAATATAATTACAAGCATTCCATAAGTGTAAAAGGCTTTAATTGACAATAACATTAAGTTTATGCAAAGAGTCAATATTTGCAGTGTTGACCTCTGCAATCCGCCCTGGCATGCTGTCAATTAACTTATGGGCCACATCCTGACTGATGGCAGCCCATTCTTGCATAATCAATGCTTGGAGTTTGTCATAATTTGTGGGTTTTTGTTTGTCCACAAGTTCTCAATGGGATTAAGGTCTGGGTAGTTTTCTGGCCATGGACCCAAAATGTCGATGTTTTGTTCCCTGAGCCACTTAGTTATCACTTTTGCCTTATGGCAAGGTGCTCCATCATGCTGGAAAGGGAATTGGTCGTCACCAAACTGTTCTTGGCTGGTTGGGAGAAGTTGCTCTCGGAGGATGTGTTGGTACCATTCTTTATTCATGGCTGTGTTTTTAGGCAAACTTGTGAGTGAGACCCACTCCCTTGGCTGAGAAGCAACCCCACACATGAATGGTCTCAGGATGCTTCACTGTTTGGCATGACACAGGACTGATGGTAGCGCTCACCTTGTCTTCTCCGGGCAAAGTGTTTTCCGGGTTCCCCAAACAATCGGAAAGGGGATTCATCAGAGAAAATGACTTTACCCCAGTCCTCAGCAGTCCAATCCCTGTACCTTTTGCAGAATATCAGTCTGTCCCTGATGTTTTTCCTGGAGAGAAGTGGGTTCTTTGCTGCCCTTCTTGACACCAGGCCATCCTCCAAAAGTATTCGCCTCACTGTGCGTGCAGATGCACTCACACCTGCCTGCTGCCATTCCTGAGCAAGCTCTGCACTGGTGGTGCCCCGATCCCGCAGCTGAATCAACTTTAGGAGACGGTCCTGGTGCTTGCTGGACTTTCTTGGGCGCCCTGACGCCTTATTCACAACAATTTAACCTCTCTCCTTGAAGTTCTTGATGATCCGAAGAATGGTTGATTTAGGTGCAATCTTACTAGCAGCAATATCCTTGCCTGTGAAGCCCTTTTTGTGCAAATCCATGATGACGGCACGTGTTTCCTTGCAGGTAACCATGGTTAACAGAGGAAGAACAATGATTTCAAGCACCACCCTCCTTTTAATGCTTCCAGTCTGTTATTCTAACTCAATCAGCATGACAGAGTGATCTATAGCCTTGTCCTCGTCAACACTCTCACCTGTGTTAATGAGAAAATCACTGACATGATGGCAGCTGGTCCTTTTGTGGCAGGGCTGAAATGCAGTGGAAATGTTTTTGGGGGATTAAGTTCATTTTCATGGCAAAGAGGGACTTTGCAATTAATTGCATGACATTCATGACATTCTGGAGTATATGTAAATTGCCATCATCAAAACTGAGGCAGCAGACTTTGTGAAAATTAGTATTTGTGTCATTCTTAAAACTTTTGACCACGACTGTACACACAATACCCCATAATGACAAAGCAAAAACAGGTTTTAAGACGTTAGCAAATTTATTACAAATTTAAAACATACTTATGTAAATAAGGTAAGTATTCCCTTTGCTATGAGACTCGGGTGCATCCTGTTTCTAATGATCATCCTTGAGATGTTTCTACAACTTGGAGTCCACCTGTGGTAAACTCAATTGATTGGACATGATTTGGAAAGGCACACACCTGTCTATATGAGGTCCCACAGTTGACAGTGCATGTCAGAGCAAAGCCAACCCATGAGGTCGAAGAAATTGTCCGTAGAGCTCAGAGACAGGATTGTGTCGAGGCACAGTTCTGGGGAAGGGTACCAAAATATTTGTGCAGCATTGAAGGTCCCCAAGAACAGTGGCCAATCATTCTTAAATGGAAAAAGTTTGGAACCACCAAGACTCTTCCTAGATCTGGCCAAACTGAGCAATCAGGGGAGAAGGGCCTTGGTCAGGGAGGTGACCAAGAACCTGATGGTCACTCTGACAGAGCTCCAGAGTTCCCCTGTAGAGATGGGAGAACCTCCCAGAAGGACAACCATCTCTGCAGCTCTCCACCAATCAGGCCTTTATGGTAGAGTGGCCAGACGGAAGCCACTCCTCAGTAAAAGGCACATGACACCCCACTTGGAGTTTGCCAAAAGGCACCTAAAGAACTCCCAGACCATGAGAAACAAGATTCTCTGGTCTGATGAATCCAAGATTCAACTCTTTGGCCTAAATGCCAAGTGTCACATCTGGAGGAAACCAGGCACCATCCCTACGGTGAAGCATGGTGGTGGCAGCATCATGCTGTGGGGATGTTTTTCAGCGGCAGGGACTGGGAGACTAGTCAGGATCGAGGGAAAGATGAACGGCACAAGGTACAGAGAGATCCTTGATGAAAACCTGCTCCAGAGCACTCAGGACCTGAAGATTTCCATCTGCAATGATGGGACTCCTTCGGATTGCTTTCTCACACCTGTAAAATATTTTTAAGTGCAGTTGAAAAATAAGAAGATAAGAATGACTTTTTTCATCCCCATGGGGAAGTTGTTTGTGGCTGTGTACATGAAAACGTCAAGCATACAAAGGACATCAAATACAGACAAATACGAGAATAGAAAAAGTGCAAATCATGGGTGATTCAACTGCACACTACTATATACACTATACACATCAGTACATTGTCAAGTGTAAGCCTGCCCGCTGGATCTACAGTCGCTAGCGAAAGTTTACACACCCTTTGCGGTCTTCACATTTTGCTGCCTTAAAATTAACCCTCGAGTTAATACTTGGTGGAAGCCCCTTTGGCCGCCATTACAGCTGTGAATCATTTTAAATATGATTCTATCAGCCTTGCATAACTTCTAAGGTAAGATAGAGTTTATTAGGTACACCCATCTAGAAAAATAAAAATAAAAATACATTGTAAAGTGGTTATCCCATAAGGTGAATGCACCAATTTGTAAGTCGCTCTGGATAAGAGCGTCTGCTAAATGACGTAAATGTAAATGTAGTACTGGGTCAGACCCCCCTTTGCATCCAGAACAGCTTGAATTCTTCAGGGCATGGAAATGTTGCTAAATTGGTATCAAGGGACCTAACGTGTGCCAGGAAAACATTCCCCACACCATTACACTAGCAACACCAGGCAGGATGGGGCCATGGACTCATGCTGCTTATGCCAAATCCTGACTGCCATCAGCATGACGCAACAGGAACCGGGATTAGTCGGATCAGGCAATGTTTTTCCATTCCTCAATTGTCCAATGTTGGTGATCGCGTGCCCACTGGAGTCGCTTCTTCTGGTTTTTAGCTGGTAGGAGTGGAACCCAGTGTGGTCGTCTGCTGAAATATCCCATCCGTGACAAGGACGGACGAGTTGTGCGTTCCGAGATGCCGTTCTGCATACCACTGTTGTACTGCGCCAGTCTTTGCCTGTTAGTGGCCCGCCTGTTAGCTTACGATTCTTGCCATTCTCCTTCGACCTCTCATCAACGAGCTGTTTTCACACACACAGGACTGCCGTTGACTGGATGTTTTTTATTTGTCGCACCATTCTCGGTAAACCCTAGACACTGTTGTAGGTGAAAAGCCCACGAGGCCAGCCCTTTCTGAGATACCTCAACCGGC